CCGCGCCTCCCCCGAGGCACCGAAGCGCTCGGGATCAAACCCCTCGGGCGGGCTGCGGTACACCGCGGCCGTCTCGTGCGTGTCCCGGATGCTATACATCACGCTCCAGCCCTTGGGGATCTGGTAGCCCTGCGGGGAGATGAGGAGACCTGCCTGACTACGAGGCACCAGGGAACCGGACCTGAACCGACCCTCCACCCCGGTGCATCACACAGAATTCTCAAAACTAGCAGGAACTCGGTGCTAGCCCAGAAGCTAGGAGACCCCTCTGTGTTCCAATCGCAGGTCCTTCTCTGGTGACCTGGGGCTAGCTTTTCAATCGCTCTGAGTCTCAATTTCTTAATTGTAGAATAAGAACAAAAATGCCTATTTTGTTGTGAGGATAAAATAAACGGGTCTGGCATACATGTTCCTGGTCAGTAAAAGTGATGTTATGTAAAAGTGTTATGTTTCAATGTTTTGTTTTTCTTTTTCTTTTTTCTTCTGACATTAGATCAGGAAACCTAAATTCTAGTCCTGTACCTACCAGCTGCCTGGGCTGGAACGCAATAACAGGGACCCCCATTTCTCTGTGATCAGCTCAATTATAATGCTCTTCTTTGCACTGAACTAAAAACTGCCTCCCTGTCCTTCTATCCATCGGCTGCACAGTGATAATGTCCAGGCCTGGTCGTTACACTTTAAAAGGTGCACATGAGAATTAAACTGGAGAGCCCTTAACATGTGGGAAACAGCTTTCATAGTCCCTCTGTGCACCTCTGGCTTTTACAAGTGTCCTGCTCTTTGATATGTCTTTCTACCATCATATGTCTGACTATCCTGCTTCCCTCGCCTGAACAGGCTCTAGGTGTCTCCTAGGAGGCGCTCAGACAGGCAGGGAGAAAATCTTAAAATCATGGAGGAGCTCTCTCTTTCTCCTCCCTGGGCCCTGTAGACTGCGGGATGGCTAAGAGCCGTGAGCGCTGCTCACCCTGGTGGGCCTGTGTTCCTCTCCCCGTTTCCCTGTGGTATTGTAAGGCACCCCGACACCTGCAGAATGAAGTCTGAGTTCCAAGATGCAGCATCCAAGATCCTTCTAATCCACCCACCTTTGTGGGGGGCTGTCCTCTCTCTGTGGTGTGCTGTCCCCATCCTCACCCTTCACTTCTCCAGCTCAAATCCCAACCCTCCAAAATGTTTTGCTGTCATCCAGGACTAAAGATCACCCTCTTCCTCACACCACATTTGGGATGAGGTGTCTGTCGGGGTGGCCCCCTTTCTCTCCATGATAATCTCCTCCAGGGCAGACCACCCAGATCCACTGGCTAAGGGGGGAAGGGAGCGGGTGCTGAGCAGGGGAGGGAAAAATTTTTATTGTCAAACTTGGCTCTAATTTAGTTGACGGACCCATACAGCTCCAAAAGCAGAGTATATGGGGTCCGTAATCTGTGGCCTCGCCAGGCACTAGGCTTGCACCCCTCAAACGTGGATCTGGGGAAATGGAACAGAACTCAACCCACTTCACAGGAAGGAGAGTGGCAGGTCTGAGAGGAGAAGGGTAGACCTAGCGGGACTAATCTCCCCCCAACCCCCGCCTCCACCATC